TATATATAATATGATCCAACAATCCCACTCCTGGGCATCTATCCAGAGGGAACCTTAATCCAAAAAGACACATGCACCCCAATGTTCATAGCAGCACTATATACACTAGCCAAGACATGGAAACAATCTAAATGTCCACTGACAGATGACTGGATATTTATACAATGGAATACTACTCTGCCATAAAATAGAATAAAATAATGCCATTTGCAGCAACATGGATGGACCTAGAGATTGTCATTCTAAGTGAAGTAAGCCAGAAAGAGAAAGAAAAATACCATATGATATCATTCATATGTGGAATCAAAAAAAAAGATACCATGAACTCATCTACAAAACAGAAACAGACTCACACACATAGTAAACAATCTTATGGTTACCGGGGAAAGGGGGTGGGGAAGGGATAAATATGGAAGTTAGAGATTTACAAATGTTAGCCATTATATATAAAAAATAGATTTTAAAAAATTTATTTTGTATAGCACAGGGAACTATGTTCAATATCTTGTAACAACCTTTAATGAAAAAAAAGAAAATGAATATATGTGTGTATATGCATGACTGGGACATTGTGTGGTACACCAGAAATTGACACATTGTAATTGACTGTACTTCAGTTAAAAAAAAAAGTCTTGTCAATCTCTTCATTTCTCACTATACAAATTCTCCTTGGATGGCCTTACCCAGCCCTGTGACTCCAAACACCATAGTCATTCTAAGGAATTCCACATATAGATCTGCAAACCATTCTCCTGAGACCCAGGCCATACACATCTTCACCTGCGCATCAAATCTGTCTGCTCGTTACCCACTTCCCTTCCGCCTCTGCTCCTTCTTCTGGGTCCCTGTCTTGGCATATGGCACCACAGCAGAGACCTAGGAGTCACCCTTGACTTATCCCATATCTGGGCAATTCTGTCTCCTACTTTCCACTCAACTCCATCCAGTTCTCCAACTCCTCAGGCCTGACCCATGCTCGGGCCAGATCTCTTCCTTTTTTGCAGCTGCATCTTCACTGTCTCCCAGCTGTTAGGCTTGCCCACTCCCAATCCATCCTCTGCTCTGAAGATGAACTGCCTTTCTATACCATAAATTTGACCTTATCTTTTCCTGTTTAAAATCCTTTGGGCCTCCCAGTGGCTTCATGTTAAAAATAGCTTTACAGGGCCTTTCCTGTTCTGTTCCCTGCTCATCTTTCCAGCCTCACCTCACAACCTCTGCTCTATCCATACCGAGCTGCTTGCAGTGCCTTGCACTCTCTTCTGCCTCTAGGCCTTAGCACGTGCAATTTCTCTACTGGAAGGAGCTGAAAGTCCCAACCCTCTAATCACTTGGTCTTGGTGACCAGCCCCATCTATGCCCCCCCACGAAGTTACATCATTAGCATAACTCAGGTGTGCTCAAAAGGGGCTCCTTATAAATAACAAAATTCTGACACCACTATCACTCAGGAAATTCCAAGGGTTTTAAGGGCTCTGTGCCAGGAACCTGGTGATTTATCATACTACACAGACATTCACCGACAGGCATCCCCGACAGGCCTCAGTTATCACATTCAGCATAGGCTTCCAGGCTAACAATGTATGAAAAGTAGAAGCCAACTTTCCCCACCCTCTTGAGAAGTGCTGGCAGGATCAAGAAGGCAATAAATAAGAATAAGCCTCCTTCTAAAGGTCATCATAAACCCATTTATTAAATCTCTAATTGTGTGTGGTGCTATGCTGTGCTAATGATTCACAGAGGGTTAGCTAAATCTTTCCTCTTCTCCCTAACAGTTTACAATCTGAGGCAGACAGGCTGACGCTCATTCACATTACAAATTGGACAGACACAGTGGAATACAGACATTGCAAACTCATAAAGGAACAAGATAAACATTTAGAGATGGAGAGATTCAGCTAGTTAAGATAAGGAGAGTTGTCTTGAAAATTCCAGTTTCAGGCTATGCAGGATGAAAAGCTCAGTATTGTTCTCTTTTCTCCACCACCACTTTCATTTACAATCATATATGAATATGTACCTGCCTCATAATTGTTCCATAAAATGTCAATCTTTTTGTCCATCTTCATTCTAAAATCCTTATACCTTCTAGGGTCACAATGCTTGTAGCAATTTTGCATAGATCATGGTTTCAACTGATATTCCTGAACACGCATCTTGACTGTCTTTGCTAAAATAAAATAGCCTTTTCTTTTGAGCACTGTCAGAAAGATTTCCAAAGCAGAGCTCTTTTGACCTTGCATTGAAGATCTTTCGTTTCAACAGACTCAATTCTATTTGATTCTTATCTCTTCTAATTTAAGGTAACTAGATTTAGAATGACCTCTTATTTGAATAGTTTTTTCATCATTTGACATTTGAAAAAAAAAACTTTCTTGTGAAGCAGGATGAATCCTAGGTTAAGTTTAAAGCAAGGAGGAAGGCTAGATTTAAGAAAGGAAACCTATATTATGTGAGATATAGTATCTTGTTCAATGAGCCACAACTGAAGAAATAACATGCATGACCAAAGTAGCAAACAGTCACATTTGATGTTAAGTTACTTATAATCCACTATGCTTTTAACTGTTATTAAGATCTTGTCTGTTTTGACTCTTATATTCTTCCCTCCTGAATCAGGATCATTTGGTTTTAAGTAACTGACCACAATATGCTTGAGCCAAAATGCCCAGTGAAAAGTATTAACTCAACTAAACAGGCCAATCCAGCAAGACTACTTTAAGCTAAGCTTAACGTAGTACTCACACACTAACACCAGGACACGAATTATTCCTCATCATTTCTCAGCTCCACATTCTTCAGGTGGGCTCCATTTTCATGCTGGTTTTCCCAGGGGGTCTCTAGATGGCATCCTCCTGCTAGGAAGCTGCACCCCTTTCTGATTTCTATTCAGTAGGAAACCATTTTAAACAAACATCCAGAAACTGAAACTGATTGGTCTAACTTAGGTCATGTGCCCATCACTGAACCAATCACCATGGCCGGAGAGTAGGAGCCATCTGTTGGCTGAGAGGGGGACCATTCCACCCAACCACAGGGTCCAGAATTTCCTATCATATCTAAAGATCGTTAAATAGAAGAATCCTTCCCTGAAAGCTTCTGGAAAGTTGAAAGCTTTTCAACTACTTATGTGGTAGTGACACTCTAAGAACAGAGTTCCTGGAATTTGCTCTTGTCACTTTTATCTCTGGGTGTGAACCTAAAGTCTCTAAGTGGAAAGCTGAAAACTCCAAAACTAACACTAGGGGGAAAAAAACACGTTTCAAGTCACTCTGAAAATTATCTTTGTAATGGCTTTAAATGCCTGGTTGAGTAACATGTAGTTTCTAAGTTAGGCAAAGGGGTACTATAAAAAATGCTAGCAGGTATACATGAACATACATATATTCATTGTCACGCTCTACACTGGAATTTGACATAACATTGTAAAATGACTATAACGCAATAAAAAATGTTAAAAAAAAATAGCTAGCAGGTAAATGACAGTAAACCAAGTTTGGTTGATAGATTTTAAATGGGTGACCTCTGTTGTAATCCCTGGCTTTTTAAAATTCTTGCCCAACCTCTAAAGCACTGCTCTCCAAATCTTATTTCATGTCTAAGAATAGAAATATCCTAGAAAGCTGACCTAATAGGAAGCATATTTCTTAGTTGTCTGAGACCGATGCTCATCTCTACTCTGATCAGAAGAGAGGGCAGTGAAGATTAGGATACCTTTCTGAAAATGTCATAATCTTTATCCTCTACCGAATCACCCTGGCAGGGAAATGAGAATGATCTTGAGCAGAGTTATCTTGCTTGGAGAGAGTCAATGTTCTTTTAATGTTTTCTTCCTTCGTTCCTTCCTTTGTTCCTTCCTTCCTTTTTCTGCTTACAAAATAAATACACATTGATTGTGGAAACTATGGAAAAGTGTACTTAAGGAAATTAAAATCACTCATGATACCACTACCTAAAGATAACTACTGCTAGTATTTTGATGTCTACCCTTTGACAACTATAATAGCCATACTTAATGTTTACTGAATTCTTTATATATGCTAGGTGCTATGCTGAGCATGAGAATGAGGATGTTATTAAATTTCATCCTCATAATCACTCCATGAGGTGCATGCTATTATCCCCATTTTATACAGAGGGAACCTGACTTTTCTCTATGCATGTAGATCCATTCTTAGAAATCTGGTATTGTAGTATATGTATTATTTTCTATTTAGAAATATATCATGGATATTATCCCAAGTCGTTAAATAGTTTCTACAAAATAATTTGGCTGCATATGCATTCTTCCTGTGCATGAACCATAACTTCCTGTTGATGGACTTTAGGTAGTTCTTGCTTTTTCATTATAATAACACTACGATGAACAATGTATTTATAAATCATCATGAATATTCATGGCTATTCTCTAAGGTTAAATACCCAGAAAGAGAATAATGGAGTCAAAGAATCAAAGCATTTTTTAAGGTGCTGATATGCATTACTAAATTTGTCCCGGGAAAGACTGTATCAATTTGCTTGCTTTTTTTTTTTTGGTTGAGGGAGGTAATTAGGTTTATTCATTTATTTGTTCTTAGAGGAAGTACTGGGGATGGAATCCAGGACCTCATGCATGCTAAGCATACACTCTACCACTTGAGCTATACCCTCCTCCTTCAATTTGCTTTCTTATCAGTCTTGATAAGATTCCCTGCATCTTGATTAGCACTTACTCATCAATTTATTTAAATCTTGTATTTAAATAATGGCATCTTTCTTGTTTTGATTGCCTTTCTTTTATTTTTGGTAGAGTTGAACATTTTTTCATCAAACCAAATATTGTAGAGTCTACATATTTGGGGGCAAATAAATCTTGTAACAGATGAACAGGTCTTCAACCTTGCTTGATTTGGAACTGACTCCTGAATATGAACAGGTAGCTCCTATAACTGTCAAATCTTAAGAAGCATATTTTCAAGTATCTTCTAAAATATATTGTATGTACATCCCTTAAGTTTTTCTTTTTACTATCCCATGACGAGATCAGACTCTAGTTCTTAATAAACAGAATTCTTCTACTCTGCTAATGGCATTTGTTTCTCCCAGAAAACAGACACCCTGGCAAGCAGCTCAGGGTTGGGCTATGCTAGATTCTATGGGTAGTGGGAAAAGTTTAAAGAATTAGCATTTCCACTCCTAGGGATACACCCAAAAGAACTGAAAACAGATACTCAAACAAATGTTTGTACATGAGCATTCATAACACTATTCATAATAGCCAAAAGATATATAACCCAAATGTTTATTAACTGACAAGTACATAAATAAACAGTGATAATGGAATATTTTACTGGGATATTTTATTCAGGCATAAAAAGGAATGAAGTATTAACACATGTTACAACATGTATGAACCTTGAAAACATTATGCTGAATGAAAGAAGCCAGACCCAAAAAGTCACTTATTATATGAGCTATTTACATGAAATGTCCAGAATAGATAAATCTACAGAGACAAAATGCAGATTTGTGGTTTCCAGGGAGTAAGAGGAGGGAGGAATGGGCAGAAATTGTGTAAAGGGTCTGAGGTTTCCTTTGTGGGTGATGAAGATTTTGAGAACTAGGTAGAGGTGATCGCACAACGTTATGAATGTACCAAGTGCCACTGAGTTGTTCACTTTAAGATGGTTAGTTTCATCTCAATTTCTTTTAGAAAAAAAAAAAGAATGTTTTCCCTTTCATTTTGGCCTTGTCACAAGTTTTATAAGCACTCCAATAGAGTAGGGGCACCAATAATATTCAAACTATTTTCTTTTCCCTAATATTTCTACTCTCAATGCTTATTTAATCACTAATCATTTATGTGTAGAAAATTACTGGCATCATGTTTTCCAACTTAATTTCCTCCTTAAGGCTTTCCCTGGGGGAAAAAAAAGTGACTGATGTAATTTATGTTCTCAGGATAATTTGTGCTTGACAAAGAAGAATCAAATCCAGAAGCTTACCATTTCCCCACTATTACTCTAGAGTGGCTGTAGAGGAGGTAAGAGATTGGTTGAAACTGACATTCAAAAACAGTTTCATTATCAACCAGGGGAAAAAACAAAATGTTCAATCATCTCTCCAAGACTTGTGCTTCTCATCTGTTTGCCCAATTGATTTTTCTGTTTCAGCATTTATACTTAGATTGTGTATGTGTGTAATGAACATTTATCATTTGTGCAAGAGATATTAGTAATCAGATGTATCGTAAGGTACCCCAAAATCCGTTGAGAGGAAAGCCCCTATGTTCGGTATTAGTCTCCACTCCCTCCTCATCTGCACGTCCTCTCTACTTCCTGCCCATTCCTCAAATCTGGCCCACTCCCTTCTCACTCTGCGTGATACTGAACAAAGGGTGTTCAGAGAATATTTTGGAATGAATGAATAAATGAACACAGATGTGCCAAATGAGCGTCGAAGTCCTGCTCCATCAATTCCAAGAAGGAAGAAGTAATTCCAGCTGGGGTGGTCGGGCAGGTTTTCAATTCCAGTATGTCTAGGTTTCTGGAGGAGATCCTGAAATAACCTGACCCATTGCGTGCCTCCAAGCTTGCTTTTTACAGTTGTCCTGGTTGCTTCTCCTGCAGACATAGAGACCAAATCCCACATCAGGTAAAACCAAAGAAACTTACCACCTTATCCTTCAAACTGGCACCCTTCCTAATTTGTACATATGGCTGATGAAAGGGCTCCCTCACCTCAAGGTTTAAGTTTGGGGAATAATTTAACATTCTTCTTGAACATCATTAACTCCTGTGTAACATAGGCCTACCTGGGAGATATTGCACAGTCAGTTCCAGACCACTGCAGTAATGCATATGTCATATTTTTTTGTTTCCCAGGGCATATAAAAGTTATGGTAACACAATTTGTAGTCCATTAATTGT